TTGACTCGAAAATTTAATTAAATGCTTTCTAATATGTTCAAGGGTTGTTAAAATTTAATTTTCCTTCAGCCACCCACTCTTGAGTCATGACAGATTTTATCCAAATGGTCGTAATCCTAGTGAACAGGCATGCAACTGCCGCTGCGAGGCACGAATCCGCTGATTTTTTTTATTATAGGGCTGTCACAATGGGTCGATGCATTGATACCAACATCGATGGTTGGATGTATCAATGGTTTTTTCTGCGATCGCGATATATCGCGAAAATTCTTGAACAGGGAAATGCCCCATCAGATTGAGGCGAGTACAGTGCAGTCCATATGGGCCGCGAAGGGTTGGGTGGCCTAACCCAGCGGTTCCCAAACTGTGGGTCGCGAGAGGCATGAGGAGGGTCGCTATAAAATCACTATATCGGCGCATCCGCTCAGGATAAAATATGCCCTGCAGAAAAGGTCGATTATAGATTCCGGTGGGTCGCAAAATTTTTTTAGCATAAAGTGGGTCGCGATTCAAAGAAGTCTGGGAACCGCTGGCCTAACCCAGCGGTTCTCAAACTGTGGGTCGCGAAGGGCTTCTAGGTGGATCGCGACAAGTTTCCCACGATAAGAAAAATGCTATATCCGCATACGCCAATCTTGAGTAGTCTAATCGAATTAGCTCGGCCTTGCTCACTTCTACCTGCGGGTCCCCCCCCCCCCCCTTCCTTCTCCATTCACCTTACTCTCAATTCAAGAATATCCCCTTCTGGTAAAGAAGGCGACACGGGCGCTGCTTCCCTTTACTATCAAATACCTGTGAAACAGTTGTCTCTGCTCTGACTTCGATAAAAGAAAGGGTGGATTTTTTAAAAGAAAACTATCCAATAATCAGGAGTCAGGAGAGTTAGTGATATCAAGAGGCGATTTCGCCCATTTCGATATCACATGTCGAGGTCGAGCGTTCCTTAATTTTAGGGTAGGCCTTACCCTCTTAAAGCTATATATTTTTGTATTATTATTTTTTTTATTTTTTTTTTT